GAGAGAGAGAGAGAGAGAGAGAGAGAGAGAGAGAGAGAGAGAGAACATCAGATCCCATAAACCTGTAGTTTCAGGCAGTTGTGAACCACCTGACATTGGTGCTAAGAAACAAACTCAGGTCTTCTCCAAGAAGAGTATGTTCTCTCTCTTTTTTTTTTTTTTTTGAGTATGTTCTCTTTACTGAGCATCTTTCAAGTTTGTCTCCTGAAGTTTCAAGCAGTGGCTCCCCTATACAGAATTTTGTCTCATTGGTTATTCACTTACCCTGAAATCAATCAAATCCAGATTGTATGGGAAATATATAGGAAAAATAAACCAGTTTCTATGGTGAATAAATGTGGTTTTAAAAAACAGAGAAGATGGTGAGTGATATAGTTTAAATCAGACTTTAAAAGTGCAGATGTGATTGATTCTTAGTTTTAGCCTCAATCAAAATGCATCTGCTTCTGGGTGGGGTTTATTAAAGACACATTTAAAGGCCTAAGGGTATAGTTTGATAGTAGAACACTTGTTTAGCATGCATAAGTTCCTAGATTCTATTTTCATCAGTATAAAAAAAGTTTGATATAATCAATAAAACTGAAAACTGACTGTATATTAGATGTTAAGTAAGAAATAATGACTACATCACTTTTGTTGTGGTAAGAGTCCTTCACATTAGCTCAGCAAAAAATGCATTGCAAAGATATATTTTAGATATGCTATAAATTTCCCCAGCCTCCAAAAAGGAAAAGTTTAGATAAGGCAAAAAGAGCACAATGTTGAGCGTATTGAAGTTGGGTTCATAAATACACAGGAGCTTATTGTTCTGTTTGATGATAGCTGTTAGTTTTCTTTATGATAAAATATAAAAGAAATAGGTCAACTCTTTGGCTCAGTCCAGAAATGGGGGAAAAATAAAATAGTCACCATTTGCAATGATGTATTATTGCAAGAATCAAAATCATCTATCACTTCCCAGAGGGTGTAAATTACATTTGAATGACAGTCTCTTTCTTACTTTAAAATACCACCTAAATGCTTGGAAGAATATCATAATAGTTCTGCAATTGAGAATAATAGTCTTAAAACCTGGCTTTTAAAACTTGAGTACTCTAGGCACATAGAACAGAGGCTGATTGGATTGCAACCATCATTGTGTCTTACATAACAGCATTACAAAATGGCTCAATACTATGTTGCTACTTCATCATCCAACACAGACACACAGCTGTCTCTGCAACTAAAACTTTCCTTCTAAGTGAAAATTCTTTCCACAACCAAAGATTTCTTAACACCTATCACTGTCTACACTAGAGGTCAGGAATCTAGAGTCTTCAGGCCAGCTTGTCATATGGTTATCTCCACTAATCATCTAAAGCTGTTTTCCAGGTACAGTGTCAATGCTCAATAGTTGAAATAGAGACCAGATGGCTAGCACAACCTCAAATATGTACCATCTGTCCCTTTATAGAAAACACATTGCCCACCTCTTGCTTAACTTAAAAGAGAATTTCCATGGTTTTGATTTTGGAGAGTTGGCTTATGTTAGATGAGGAAATATACTCTAATGGTTTTATATTTGTACGGTTTTAATATTGATGTATCATTAATATGTCCTGCTTTGATGAAGGGTGATTAGGGTAGAAATCAATGTTCAATAGTATCATTATTATTCTTCTATGGAAGAAGAAAAACACAGCAGGGTGAAGGCATAAAATGCCTTGGGAAATGTTATTTGAATTCCTACAATTCTCTTTCATTGATGAATATTTTGTGGTCTGTAATTTTCTGACACTCTCCTAATTTTACTATCGTGATCCACCTCGGGGCACATCCACCTGATCCCTGCCTTTATGCTCATTCTCCCAGTAGGAAATGTGCTTAGAATAAATTCTGCTTTACCTTTTGAGAGGGAGGAGGACAGAGGCAGATTGAACTTGACAATGGGGATGTAGGCGTGCACTCAACTTGTTCCTGAAAGGGGAATAAGGAATCTGGCATGTGTTCACCCTTCTGTCAGAGGAACAAGGAGGTGAGGGAAAGAGCAGAGTTCAGAAAGTATTCTAGCATCACAGAAGACCCACTAGCTCTCTCCCAGCTGGAATTTACATGCTTTGGAGAAGGCATCTAGGAGAGAGAGCATGGATCACTTGAAAGCCACTCACAGGGTTCCTGAAAGGCTGACAGTTTTCTGCTAATGATCTACATTCTGCAAATCTTGGAGCAGGGCATAATTCTAGATCCTAAAGCTCAGCTGAATTTTTACCTCATCATTTCATTAGGCCAGCATGAGATCCTTTGTCTATGAAACTGGGGATATAGCACAGTTAGCAGGGTGGTATCCTAGCATTCATGAAGTGTAGTCTCCAACACCATAAAAACATGGTAGGGTGATAGAATCCTGTAATCTCAGCACCCAGGAGTTCAAAGTCATCCTTGGATACACAGCAATTTTGAGACCATCCCAGGACAGTAT